TGTTTCAAGTATTCATTTCATCCTAAGCAGAAAGTTCTTTATACTAAATTCAGGAGAGCACTTCAGAAACAGAACTTGGAAAGAAGAGACACACAAGCAGAGAATTTTCCATCTCTTACTGACTTTCATCCTTCGATTCAAACAGAATACTTTTGTGCTTTTAAAAGACCACCTGCTGAAAAGTGTTGTGAAAAGGGGGATGTTGATAAACAAGGACATAATGGGCCTTGACAGAAGAATATGAATCACTAGAAATGTGTTCTGCTATATAAGCTATATCTGTTACATAAAACTGTGGAGATGTCATTTTATCTTTCTGTATCTTTGTTTTAGCTCCTTTTTTCTATCTTGTCCTGGTAAGCTGGAAAGGTGATGGTAAAAACAATCTCTAATTTCATGCACGTAGGAAAATGGGGCTTTGTCTTTGTTTCTAGTCACTTATGCAATACAAAGAATTTATTTTTTAAATTAAAAATGTGGCATATTTTTATTATGGCTGTGTGTGAACAGATGAAACAAAGGGCCAAGTAAGTAAACTGGGGAGACCATCAGATTTAGTGACATCACTGATGAGGTTCTAGAAAACATTCTGTTAAGCATAAAGAGTCCTCCATAACTGTTAAGAGTAGACACACCTTCTCCAAAATGGAAACACACTTTTTGGAAGTTCTGGGGCAAGCTGACATGAAACAGCTCTTCATAGAGTCATAGAATCACAGAATCAAAGAATCATAGAATCATAATAGTTTGGGTTGGAAGGGATCTTAATGATCATCTAGTTCCAACCTCACTGCCATGGGCAGGGACACCTTCCATCTTCATTTTACTGCTTTTACAGCTCATGTGCAGCACTGAAACACACAGTTTTGGGGTTATTTCTGGGGGCGAGTAGCAGTGGTCATGTCAAGCATTGCATCCCATTGTGTCAAGGACTGTGGAGCTGCCCAAAGCACCAGCGCTGCCAAAGCTGCCCTGAGAGGCCACAGCGAGGGAGCGGTCCATGCCCAGAGCCACACCAGTCCAGTCATACACCCGGTCTACACTGGCAAATTAAAAAGGCTCAGGACCTGCTTGCCCTCCCCGAAGGCAAATCATGTGCACCACTTCAAGTGGGCAAGTAAAGAAAACATGGCAACAGTCTTGATGTTTGTGGTGTATCTTTCAGACCCTGGGATTGCAGAACGATAAGGTCTGCCAGAATAGTGTAAAGGAGGAGTTTCACTCACAGGTAACAAAAAGGTTTTTCTGGTTATAGATATTGTAAAATAGTAAGGAGGCTGGATGTTCTTTCACCATCCTGAGAATAAAGTCTAAAGAAGAGCTAAAATTATGTTGATATGCTTAAGCTACAGCAGGTTCTCAAGAGTAGGTGGAGATCTACTGACTCAGATAGTCTGAGGACGCTGTCTGCCTTACTGATGAATCGAAGCAACAACTCCGTGACCCTGCAGAAATGGATGTGTTGCTCCAGCATTCTGTTTAAACAGGGCTCTGAGCTGAGCCATGTCAATTGGCACTAATACAGAAACCAAGCAAAATGTTTCCAATCACTCCCAAACATCTCTAGTTGCCACTGGAGACTGTATGGTCTCGTGTGAGTGAGCATGATCAAAGAAGAGCATAGCTTTATTAAGAAAACCGTCATACTCTTGTTAAGCCTTGGCATACCTTTGAGAGGTAAGATCTGAAACCTTTTCTGAGGCTAAGACAGTAGCAGGCAATCCAGGCAAATGGGATGTAAACACTTGTGTGCAGGCTGAATGCATCTCCTGAACTTAATGCTGGCCCTACTCTCCCTTTCGACAATGGAAATCTGAAAGTCAAACTGCATCTCTATACTTCACCCTTAAAAGAAGTACAGGTTTGACTCTTGCCGAACACATCAACTTCACCATAGCAACATAAAAACCTGAAAAAAGATCATATAATGAAAAAGGCACATCCTGAGTTGTGCATGAGGGGAGTCTGGATTTCAGATACATCATTGGGTTCCAGGAGAAATCTTCCCTGACAAGCCTCAGATATGGAGTGTGGAGGCAGCTTCCACACATCCCTAGGCACATGGAGAGGAGAAAATAAATGAGAAAATATAATGAACTAAGAAAAATATAGGAGACAAAAGGAAACAGAAAACGGTAAGATTAAAGTTGCGTAAGAAGTGAGGAAACAGCAAGGTGCTGATTTTTCTCAGCCAGGCAGCTGGGAGAGCACAGCGAGCCGAGACACCAGGTCAGATAAATGGGCACTGGAGAGGGGCAGGGGAGCCGCGCATGAGCTCATTTTTTGAAGGCGGACAGTGAAAAAGTCTCCAGTCTTCACTGCTTGAGGTCTACAGTCATGAGAAGTGTGAACGTGTATATATATGAGCAGTCACTTGAGAAGAAACCCACAAGCCCACAAGCCAGTTTCTCTCCCTTCATTAGCATAGATTTAAGGGCAAAGCACTTTGAGTTATGGTCTCATTACTGAGATTTAATTACTTTTCCTAAATGTTCTGCAGAACATTTACTTGTACATTGCAAAGTATTACAGTATAGTCACAACTTAGGCTCTCAATTACAGGAGAACTAGGCAGGAAAGAAGTTGAGCTAATTAGAGTCACTGAAGCTTAATCAATTCCTCTGTGTATGCAGAGAAGAGCAGGCCAACTTTTAGCCCATTCGAGAAGCCACCTTACCTGTCTGCTACAGGTTATTAAAGCCATCATGCAGAGGGAAAAAGTCAAAGGCTGCTATTTTAAAATGGCTGTTATTTTGCATTTTCTGCATTGAGCCAGACTCTTTTTGCTTCAATCCCATTTTTGGCAGACTAAATGCTTTTATGTTCAAGATTGTTTCTGACTGCCTGTTCTTAAGCAGCACTTGATCTCTGAAGGCAAAGTGCTTTTATTTTGGAGCCCCAAACAAGCACCCCAGTTCTACTTGAAGATCAGCCTGTCTAGGAAGACCAGGACCTTCACAATGGAGAGTAAAGCTGCAACTCTTCTGCATACTTAGTCTAGGTGGCTATAATGCCATTCCTGTTTGTATAGTGGCCTTCCTTTGGAAGAATGGAGAGGATCTCCAGGCATGCTGGAGAACAAGAGAACTTACATGACCTGGAAAAATTACATAAATATTCTGAAAGATATTAATTCAATTTAACTACGTGAAGTGTAAATATATATATTTTTATATATGTGGGCAGTCACTACTGAGAAAACAAAAACTCACATGCCCCCAAACCATTTTATGTCCCTCCATTAGCATAGATTTAAGGGCAAAGGCTTTACATGTAGGTGTGAATGAGCACCAGCACAAGTACAGAAAAGCTCATTTCCTGGGTAAAATTCATCCCACCCAAAATTAGACAGTAGCCAGATGAATCAAGCAAATGAAATGTACACGTGAGATCAGTGAGATCCAAACACGTGCTGGATGACATCGCTTTGCTTTGAAACTGAGTGGATACTCAGCAGATACACCTACGCAGGATGGTGGGTGGACTTCAGGACTTAGTGGTAACACAGCATGTTTTTGTAAGTCACATTTGCATGTCGTGTACAAGAAATCATACACACATGCACACATACAGAGCTGAGAGAGAAATTATTTTTCTAAATGTATTCTAAAAGACCCTAAAATGGGTGTTGTGTTTTACTACAACATAGGCTGAACTGGGGGAGGATTTGATTATAAGCTATAGAAAGCATGTGTTAAACCATAACAGCATTCAGAATCAAAAAAAAAAAAAAGGCCAAATGAATATCTATAGCAGTATGGCATCATCTATTCTTCTCTTGGCAACAGTCATAGAAAAAGTCCTTGTTAAATCAGCCACAGTATTAATTCTCAGTTTCCCTCTTTATCTTCTGCCAGTGAAAGCAAAATTGACATATATATTTCTATGAGTACTATTTTATGCATTTCTGTTTCATAAACGACTTTTTGTATTTCCACGACTTCAGTAACAGACGTATCATGAACGTTTTTGCAACAAAATCTTCCAAATTCTCTAATGTGCCAGCAAAGTGAGGCAGGGTGGCGGTGGAGGACCTACCACCAGCAGGGGGCATCCATTCCCTGTCATTCCTGCAGCAGCAGGTACCCAACGCTGCACTTGCACCACATCAGCATAGTATGTGGGATCATGCGAGAAGCAGACAGTTAACCCTAAGTTATTCTCTCGTCAGGTGACAAAATGCTTCTTTCAAAGCATCATTTTAGTTCTTCCATCATTCGAGAAAGAGCTCATACATAAATACTATATAGAGATAGATTTGCCATATCAGAGCAGCAGGATTTTTTTGTTCTCTTTACACACTGGTATAGGTACTATCCAGTGCAAGCTGGTCTGTCTGGGACAGTATTTTCTTTATGTAATAACAGCTTTCCATGAATAACTGATGGAAGAACTTGACCTTCCTTCCCAGTTCAATAGCACCTTTATTCTACTGTTCTTCATGTTCATAAATACTCTGCTAAGGTAATAAAACTCTCAATTTAAATATGTGTAATAATAATTTCAAAGCATTTTATGGCGAGAAACACGGTGAACAGAAAGTTAATACTGGTTTCAAATAAGCTTTTTTTTTTTCCTTCCTCAAAAAAACCTGAGCTTTACCACCATGAAGGTATGGACTGAGGGCATCTTGGCACTTCAGCAAAACCATGTTGTTCTGCCAGCCCTAAGACTCTGATGCAAGATGTGTTGGGTGTGGGGGTGCTGGGATGTGGGGCCAAACGTGCAGCTGCCCTGACTGCTGGCACCCTTCGCCCACAGATCTGCTGAGTGGGAAAGGGGACGCTCCCTGCACTGATCTGCTGCCTCTTATGGCAAGAATTTTATAGGAAAAGAAAACGGAGCAGGCAAGCGGACATACAAATATAGGTGAAGAAAAACAGAAAGAAAAAGCAAGCAATCTCATTTCCATCGAGAAAATAAATGAAACGCAATGCACAATGGTCTCTCATCCGGGGTTTCAGTAATGTGCTTGCGGTGACATTAAAAGCAGGTATTACCTGTTCTAAGAGATTCTGAAGTCTCTCTATTTCACAGTCTATTACAAATTTCTTTTCTTGCCTTCGGTCCAGGTCTTCTAAAAGCCGCCTGTAGCTGGCATCGTTAAAATTCTCCACGCAGATGGCACTGACTTGCCAGCTATTTTGTCCTGCTTTTTCCATAATAGCTTGAAGTATTGAATAACCTAAAAGAAAAGGATACAACACACTAGTAACACAATCATTGCATTTTTTTGAATAGGAATTGTCCTTAATCGATATTATGTCTCTTAATATCTGCTCCTGCAGGGAAAGGAATAAGAGACTGTTTGTATCCCTACCTATGCTGCTAGCCATGATCAGCGCACAGCATGCAATTAACAAAAATTACAACTGCTGTGATCAGAGTCCTTGGAATGATTCTCAGCATTATGGATAGTCTTCATTCAGCATTACGGATAGTCTTCATATGATTTATACACACTGGCTCTTCCAGTCAAGTATTCAGCTTCTCAGATTAGTTTTGTACAGGTTTCTACATCCGAGCATTTCATGATACAGCAAAGAAAAATCTGAGCCTACTCATTCACCAGAAGTATTTGTATACTACACAAGCAGTATGCTAAGATATTCAAATGCTTTGCTTTTATGTTGTTGGGGCTTTTTAAATCCAAGTAGTTTTTAATGCTTCTTAATAAGAATTCATTTTTTCATTTATTTATGCATATATACATATATCTGCCAGTACAGATATGTGAATAGAAATGATATTGATCTATTTTAGAGATCCTATATGGCTTTAATCAATGTATGCAAAATGATTAGAGGTCAATGAACAAAGGGCACCATAGAAACATTAATTATTACTACTGGCAGGATTATTGCTCGTTATGATTATCAGTATTTGATGCTCCTTTTGTCATCTCTGAGCCCATTGACAGAAGGGGAAGGGAGCATCCTCCCTGAAGTCTCCACCTGAACCCGCAGTGTCAGCATGCCCTGGTCCACCAGCACTTCGACTTCTTCCTTCTCCTACTTTTTTCTTACTGTGGATGTGCAGTACAGAGGCAGGAGAGGAGCCTGTGACTTATCTTAGGATATCTTAAAAGTCTAGTCTTGACTTGTACAATCAGTTCCTGAAGTAGGAAGCATGTATTATTCCATCTTTTATCCAGAGTAAATGGTGAATTTGCTTATAAGCAATGAAGGCTGCACACTTCAGATCCAGAGTTAATGTTTGAGAAAGACAAAAAGGACAGACACGTTTTTCAAGGACATATTGATACAAAGGACAAAATTCAGAGGTCTCCCTGTCTAGAATTACAACACAAAATATCATGGCTTTTCACTTGTTTCCTGGCTGAATTTTCCTCACTAGCTTTGAATGAAAGGTTTCATCTCTTGAAAACTATCCTTCATGGTGCAGATACACAGTGGTGGCTCCTTTCTCTCTTTCAACAAGAGGATCCCATGCCTGAGTGCAGTGATCCCCAGCTATCATTTTAATGCACTTGAAGATGTCACTGCATGACAGATTCCCCGCAAAAAGCACTATCAGACATTCCCACACATTGCAAGAGGAATCTTTGTAAATTACATTTCAGAAAGAGTAATTTTGAGTGTGCTGTCACTAACTTATAAATTATCAGAAGACCTACAAAACCACCAAAACCCAGATTTGCCTTCAGTAAAATAAAAGTAGACAACAGTTTTTTTCAGAATATGAAGATTTTAGGAAACATGAGAAACTAATTCTCTTGCAAATCTAGGAGTAGCTATTTTTCTACAGGCTCTCATGACATCTGCAGTCCTTGAAATACTAACTTAAACTCTATATCTTCTTATCATTGCGATATTAGTTATCCACACTTTGAAATGAACATTTATTATTTTTTTTCTCCAATTTAGATGACATATTTAAGATAAAAATACAAACATTTATAATGAATACAAAAAACGCATAACGTCTTATAAATGAGACATTTATTTTATGAAACAGTATTTTATCTTAGGAAATGAATTCAAATACTTGATGTATTGAGTATTAAAACATTTTTGTACTCAGTGTATATTTTTAACCTGATGACTGTTATTTTTTTCAAAGAACCATACAGCTTTCTTGTTAATTGCTGCATAATTATCCTACTTTTCCTGTTGCTATATTGAATCTTCTTTTTGCCTGCAATTATCTCTGCAAATCATGACGGGATTCTTTCCCAAACATTGTATTTCTTGATTCATTTCCTATTCATTTCCATATATAGTCATACATTAAAACGACTCCAGTGTTACAGGGATTCCTGCTTCATTTACACTGTAACTTTGACTTGATCTTTGGTATAAAGGCAGTCAACATTTACTTAATTCAGTTTCCTGACACAAATTATCATTTTCTTTGATTCAGAATGAATGGTGTTTGAAACAGCAATTGACTTCCCCTCATTCCTTTTGTATTTCACTTGGACAACTTTACTAAGATGTGTTTTGATCAAACTAGGAATTTATCGCAACATAAAGCATGACAAATATCAGAGAAACACATAGAAAAGCTTTTCTTCTACCTTGGATCAAGGTTTGACTTGCCACATTTCATTAGCAGCTTCCTTCATTTAGGCTTTTGAAGCTTCTGTATCTTCTTGTCAGTAGCTGGCGCTCAGGTTTTCATGTTAGCATGTGTTTCACATATAGAACAGTACAGCTACATGGTAGTAACTGGATATGGTGGAACGTCTCCATCTGAAGAGTTCAGAATCTCTGTGCAGGTAATCAGTGGCATAGTCATCTATTCAGTGTGTAGGAATAATTTTTAATATAACAGACTGACAAGGGTGCAAGAGTTGATGCAGAATGAATAAAGACATTCACAGGCTCAGTTGGAATAAAAATTAGACATGCCAAGAAGAATGCTTACTTGCCCAAAATAATTGACTACAGCTAAAAGGGAAAAAAATTAGTCGTATGTAGTGCTGCAAATATTTTATAAGGCAAAAAACCTGAAACTAACCTGAGGTAATTCTCAGAAACTGAGCGCAGCATCTCTATTTAGACAAAATTCTTCAACTTCAGAAAGATTTTTGCCCAAGTAAAGACAGCAGACAAGAATCTTACAGCTGTCATCTAAAAGGTATTTATTTTATGTTTATCTGCTCTTTATCCTCAGTTATGCTACAGACTGATTAATTTTCAAATTATTATGTTTCTGGAATACCTTCCATCCCATATATTGTGGAATATTATTTGTTGCATAAAAGGAAACTAAAAAAAACCCCAGGCTAACTCATATCAGCTGAGTTACACAATCAATGTTTTTCAAAACAACATGGTTTAAGAAAATGCTTAAGGCTATGCCAATAAATAAAAGTAAAGTAAGGCAAGTTCTCACAAGTGCATATAGTAACCTTTCCTCACCAACTAATTCAACGTTGAAATGCAGAGAAATGTATCAGAAAAAAAAAAATATTGCGCCCAAACATAGAATCATAGAATGGTTAGGGCTGGAAGGGACCTTCAAAGGCCATCTAGTCCAACCCCCCTGCAAGGAACAGGGATATCTCCAACTAGATCAGGTTGCTCAGGGCCTCATCCAACCTGGCCTTGAACGTCTCCAGGGATGGAGCATCCACCACCTCTCTGGGCAACCTGTTCCAGTGTTCTACAACTCTCATGGTAAAAAATTTTTTCCTAATATCCAACCTCAATCTACCTCCCTCTATTTTAAAACCATTACCCCTTGTCCTATCACAACAGGCCCTCCTGAACAGCCTCTCGCCATCTTTCTTGTAGGCCCCCTTGAGGTACTGGAAGACCGCTATAAGGTCACCCCGGAGCCTCCTCTTCTCCAGGCTGAACAGCCCCAACTCTTTCAGCCTGTCCTCATAGGAAAGGTGCTCCAGCCCTCTTATCATCAACATAACTGGTTGAAACCTAGAGGTCTATATCAACCAGCTCCTGGTCCTTCCCTAAGTGTTTTTTTTTTAAAAAAAATTAGCAAATCTATGTACATGATAAAATACCAATACAACTGCCTTGAAACACAAACAAAGTCCTTCCCAAATGCAAGGATGCTAAATGCAAAAATGGCTTCTCTTTCCTTTTCATAGGACTATGATTCCAGGGAATTTTCCTCAAATGACCTAAGATGAGAAGTCTGCCAACTGCTTTTTGGACCTTATTGCTCAAATGTACATACTATTGACAGCTGCGTAAGGATCAGTAACACCAATTCCACCTCAATATACTGGAATCAAACCAGAGACAGGGAAAGTCTGCAAAGACTTTATTTTCTTGATCTGTTGTCTCCTTGCTGTTTTGGTTCTCTGGTCAAGTGGAATTGTGCTGATCTAACATATTACTATTTTTTTTTCCAAAAAGATATCACACAGTCATCATCTTGGGAAAAAAAACCCAAAGCATGAAGATGAAAATGAAGAATTACTCTGTTCTTTTCCTATAAAATCAGAGCAGGAGATGCCCACTGCAGAAAATCTATGTATTGTGGTTAATATTACAGCTTACAAACAAAATCTTAGAATTTTTTTTAACCCTGCTTCCCTCATTCCACACTCCATAGGCATTTTTCCATTGCAAAATGCTTTGGCCACATGAAAACAATGTCAGATATGCACCTGGTCTTATCCGCTTAAAGAGAGAATCTTCACAATGACTTAGATATCTTCTGGAAGTCAAAGTGTGTAAAACCCTTGAGCAATTTTGGTACTTAAGAAGATATTGTTAAGTGCAAGAGTTTGGGAGTCCTGGATTCCTCCTAGTCACTGCAACATTGCTGTAATTTGATCCTAGACACAACCACCCTCCACCCAAGCAGCTGAAATCATGAGTGATCTTTTTGATATTAAGAGTTCAGTGGCCTTTCAGGTATTTTTATTTGTCTTCTGCTGTACCAACTAGGCTTTCTCTTATGCAATTTTGTTTCAGCAGTCAATGACTTAATTGGATTTATTTCCATTTAAATGAAAAGTAAAATCTGATATCTAAATCTCTTCAGTGTGTTCAGAATAAACTAAAGAGATCAGAGAGCATTTCCTTGGCTTATTCTTCTGCTGGAATGCACTTGGTTGGCTTGTTCCCTTTTCTTTCTTTCATTTTTTTTTCTTTTTCTTCTTGCTTGCTTGCGTGCTTTTATCATAAATATTTCAGTGATCAATTACAGTGTTATAATTAAATTTCAATAACTTTCATCTTCCAGCAGCCTTTTCATTCTGGGAAACCATTTCCCCTGCCCCTCTAAGCGCATGCAATCATTCCTGATAGTCTTGCCAGGAGACAGATAGCTTGCTCCAAACAGTAGCACCCCAGTAATAATTCTTATTTTGGAACAGTAAGTATTATGCAGGAAG